AATATAAACTACCCATTCACAATCATCCTCTTCTCCAGGCAGCTCCGTTTACTAAGAGTAAATGTTCTGGCTGCCATGTAGATGATATCATGTACAACCGTTACACTTGCAGTGATCCTTACTGTGATGTTTTGTTTCACAAAGAATGTGCAGAAGCCCCATGGGTGATCAACCACCCTTCTCACACCCAACATCCTCTCTGGCTCACAAACCACTCAGACTCAAGAGATGGTCCATGTGATATGTGTGGACAAAAGCTATTGCCTACATGTTATAGTTGCTTCACATGTAAATTCAAAGTGGATTTACTTTGTGGGATGAAACCATCACCGTCTGCTATCGAACATCCTGCGTGCCATGAACATCCACTTGTCTTCTTGAAGAAACGAGAAGAGGAGTCCCTATGTGAAGTATGCAAGGATTCTATTGCTGGACCATCCTATTCATGTCTTGAATGTCGTGTGTACTTCCACGTGGACTGCGTCCGCTGCTCGACAGAGGTAAATCATCCTTGTCACACTAATCACCCTCTCAAGTTCACCGCATTTGAATCCCTTTCAGATGATGGCGAGAAGATTTGTCTTTTGTGTGGAAGGCAGCCGAAGAATGTGCTTTACCATTGTTCCATTTGCAACTTCAGTACGTGCCTTTTTTGTACCATGAACCCACCTCCCCTTGTAATTGAGAATGTCAAGACCCACAAGCACCCACTTACTCTCTTTTCAAGGAGAATCCCATATACTTGTGATGCTTGTGGGATGGAAGGAAACGTGAGGGCTTATATATGTTTACAGTGCGATTTTGTTGTTCATGGAAAGTGTATTGGGCTACCTCGTGTCATTAACATCAATCGTCATGATCACCGCATTTCTTTCACTTATCATCTCGGAGTTGGGTATTCAGAATGTGGAATTTGTCACAAAAGTTTAAGTAAGTACCATGGGGCTTATTCTTGCTCTTTTTGTCCAAAATATGCAGTTCATTCTGAATGTGCGACAAACGATGACGTATGGGATGGTGTAGAATTGGAAGGGATTCCAGATGATACCGAATATATTGCACCATTCGAAGTGGTCGGTGATGATTTGATAAGTCATTTTAGTCATAGGAATCATACTTTAAGACTCCAAAAAGACAATATCGTTCATGATAAATGGCTACGATGTGAAGCATGTATGTATCATGTTGGATTTGACCCCATATACAGTTGTGGGGAATGTGGCTTCGTTCTTCATGAAAAGTGTGCTAATCTTCCTATGAAGAAAAGACTTATCTTTGACACCGTACCATACACATTGGAAGCTGTTACCGGAGTTTTAGACTGCTTCATTTGTGAAACATTATCTGATGGTTTCAGTTACATAGCGCAAGCAAAGGGTACAATACACGTACACTGTGCTTCCCTTTCTGAACCACTCGTCCATGATGGCCATTTGCATCCACTTTATTTTTATAAAAGTGATGGGTGCTATTGCGATGGGTGCTATAGCACTGTAAAATTTTACGTGCTGAGGTGTGATGCTTGTGACTTTAACTTGTGTTTTTATTGTGCTAGTTTGCCAGGAAAGATATGGCATAAGAATGATGAACACCCTCTCACTTTCTATTGCGGGGAAAGGTTGAGCAATAAGAGGTGGTGCGATATTTGTGAGAGGGAAATAGATCCTAAGTGGTTTTACACATGCTACGATTGTGGAATCACATTGCATGCACGGTGTGTACTAGGAGATTTCTCACGTCTCAGGCTAGGATCTACCATATGCGACGGGGGAAAAAGGTTTGATGTGATTCCTAACAATCACAACACTCGACCATTATGTAGCCAATGTCACTCACGATGCAATGTGTCAATTATACTAAAAGGTTGTGGTGAAGTCAATGAATACATCTGTTCCCGTTCTTGTTTATATAATTGTTTGGGTATGAAACTTTGAACTTATGTTTCATGATGAATGGTTCTATCATGGTTGTATTGTTTCGTTCGCTCCCCAACTAATTTCATGAGCTTATTTCCAATGACCGAAATGTAATAGAAAGTGAACGTGTTTTCTAGTAAAGGGTATATACGCGGGTGCTTAGACGTGATATATGTAATCTGAAACGAATTTGAGCTCACCAAAACGATATAACATAATCTGAAAGCATATTTCACCATGAAAATTGATTTATCTTTCATACATAGCTAGATTTAACTTTGCATGACTCACTTGAATATCAACAAGATGTCAGATGTGTATTTCTTTTTACAATGTGATATTTTTTCTGATTATTGTGTCAACACTAAAGTAATCCTGTTATGTCTTAGTTTGTATATGGGCTTAGGATCATAATCGGTTAGTTAAACGGCTTAGAGCATGTACATTGGTCACAACCCCTTAGGAGTTCTCAACAATATTAATAATATTAATTTTGCTTTATCAAATGTTTAGAACCCCATTAAAATTAATTAATTTTCTTCCTCTCCATTGGTTAGAACTTTTTTTAGGGGTTCTGAATTTTGCAACAAATACATCAACAGATTCCAACTACATGGATTCCATGGAATCTAATTGCAAGTACCTTCACTACACGTAAACATAAATATGAAACAAACGCTAAGGCCTACAACAACCACGAGAACAGAATACGGCAACCTACAACAAGAAAGGAAAATGCCTTACTTCACTAAATAGCCATGTCACCACGAGTAGGAGAATCATCAGCTCAATGCCTTTCACAAAGTGACTACGGGAATAGAACCTATAGTTCTCAGCAAACTTGGAATGGAACACCACAAAACCACGACCAAAACCTCTGCAAAAACAGAAACAAAAAATTAGACAAGTGTGATTAAAGCATAACCATGAGAAGCATTGGTATTAATCTCTGATCTATTTGTTTCTAACATGAATACGATCACAGTTATGGTCAGTGACTCTTGTAACTCATGTTCCTCTTTGTCTTCTTCTTATGCATCTATACAATTTTGTTTTACATATCTGTTTTTAAAATCAGTTTCTTGTTCGTTTCTTTTGTTTCTAGTGACAGGATAAATATATTTTGCTTAAAATCAGTTTCTTGTTCCTCTCTTATCTCATCAATGGATCATTCGGGATTACAACCTTCTACCTAAGAGAATCTATATTCACTAAAATCTATAACACATGGTCGCATTGCACATATACAAGCTTGGTTACTAGGAAATTTATGTCGATCCCCAATTATGCATTTTAAGCAAAAATGATTATTTAGAAAGAAGATGAATGAAATTGCGTGATTAGATTATGTACCTGCGCCAGAATCCATCCCACAAGCCAATCAATATCACTTTAGTGATTACAAACGACAAGAGCATGTTCTTTTCCTGGAAGAAAAGTAAAGAACAATCACTGAAGTTACATATCGTTGATATATAGGACTCTATGACACTTAGACATGAAGATTGCTTCCTTAACCCCAAAGCCTATAGAAATTGTTGAGATTCTCACAATACACCAAAGACAAATCGAACAACAACCCAAATCCAGACAATACATATGACAAAATCGCTCAAACAGAGAGATGAGATTTGAACACGTAGAATCTGAAACCATACCCCATATTGACAACAGCGAGAGAGACTGAGGATAGACTGCAACTGCGAAAGGCTCGTCCTTTTTTGTTCGAGAGAGAGAGACTAACCCTAAAATCTATGATTGATGAAGAGATTTGATCGCTTCATTGGTGATATCGGCAACAAGAGAGACAGACGACACAGGAGAGAGAGAAAAACGATTTAAGAGATATTTTTTTTAATAAATGTGAACTAATCAGAAACATCCACGTATGGAATTTTGAAAAGTTTTAAAAACTTTTGTTTGAGAACTGGTTCTGAATTTTTTTTTAATTTTGCCCCAGAAAAATCTAGAACCTCTTAGAACATGTACATTGGATGCTCTCAATGATGTTCTTAAAATATAAAATTATTAAAACACACACTTTCTCTTTCATTTACTCAAT